AACACCCTGTATATTAATGCTTTAAAATTTATGTATGCACATACATTTCCATGTATATAAAGAAGAGCAGTGACGAAATAATTAAGGACACTAGTTGGTAGTGAAATATATTTTTTGTTTAATTTTTACCTACACCATTTTATCATGAATTGCTTCATGCAAGAAATACTTCATGAACATATAATTTTTTTTAGGCATAACTGGCAGACATAGGAACATACTTAAATAGTGTGGGAGCTGTTTTTGCACAATCAACTCAAATTATTTTATGGTTTATGCCGTTCTTCTAGAAAATGAGCACGATGACAGTGGAAAATGTAAATGCGTTAAGGTTCGTTATTGATTCGCCACTAGGGTTCGTAAATGAACTTTAGGTAATGCTTAACATTCAACAAACGTATACAATTAATGACTTAACAAGAATGCGATATGGTACTATTTTTCAATCTATGAACACTACATACCAATCGGCAATTACCCCGCACCCCTTGCACTTATCCAAAATAAACAAAACATGTAAACGTATCAATGTTAATACTATTGTCAGTCTGCTTTTTTAAGGCCATTAAGGTCACGTCTACTGCACAAAAGAAGTCGCAAATGGCCACAACTGTCATTGCTTCTAGACTATCTCTGCACTTTGATGTTACTAATGAAATTCTAATAAAACGTTTTTGTATGTAGGTACATACATAGTGCGTACGTAGTTACGAGCATGTATGCATGTCTGCGGCTATAAACCATATAAGTAGTTGTACATATGTAAGTACATACATATATGAATAACAGATAACCAAAGACCATTTAAACCATTTTCCGTACAAAAGAACATACGCATTGCTTATTGGCTAAGATGGCGAATATGCGCTAATTGCACCCGAAAGCACCTTATTTTCAACTGATAACATACATTATACACACGTATATAGAGGTGCAATGGTTTAGCAAAAATAAAAAAACATTAAACAAAATAAAAACTAAATGTTAATTATGCAAATGAATATAAAATTAAACAAAACCCCAGACTTGTTCATTCTTACTCAGTTGATCCAGATGGTGCGGGTACATCATTTGGGTTCTCCATATTTCACGAATAATTTAGCTGTTCTTGTGAACTTTGTGCGTCAGTAGCTGGAACAAAGAGAGTAAAAAATATACAATTAATTCATTACTAAGCCATTGTAAATAGGCACCAGCCCTCACAAAAGAAAATTGGTGCTAAAAACTAGTAGCTATCACAAAGCGCCGGATGAATCAGCCCAATAAAATGTTGTTTTTTCTTTTGCCAGCGACTTGTTGCGCTGTTCTTAGCTGCTTTTAGAGCACCAGGTTTTAGCATTAAAAATATTAGAAAAACACAAGACCTATTACTGTATTTCTTTTGCGCGTCACTTTTGTAGCGTAGCTTTAATAAAAACGATTTTACCAATTTGTTTAAGCTGAGTATTGAAGCAAAATTAAAAATGATAGTGAAAAAATGAACCGACTGCCCGTCGTCGTTGTATTCTTTTCACCGCCTTGTCATGAATGAATACCGAAATGAATTCTTTTGAGGGTTGCTGTGACGTACGAACCAAATACGTTTATGTGGAAATATGGCAACATTACATGCACTCATGAATTTTAATAGCTCGAGAATTCAATAAAATATATATTATGATAGTTTAAATTTTCTAAACAATAAATTAAGTTGAGTTTTAAATAGTAAATGCGAACTAACTCGATTTTATATTGTAATCTCAAAAAAAAGGGGTAAATAAATACAACTCTGAATTCAACAGGGCATTGCATATGTAAAAAAATATCTGATGAAGAACACCCTGTTATTAAATAAACACAGCTCGAATTTGGTATTGATTCTACGCTGTACAATGCGCAAATTATCATTATACGGTGTTTACATGAGGCGATTTTGCAGGCAACTTTTAGTTGAAAGCAGCAATCGCCTGCTGTGAACGGCCTCTCAACTTTTTGCTTCCAATGAAGTTGGAGGCAGCGAACTTTTGATTCAACTAATCGCCTCTAAAGTTGCTTGGTAAATCGCCCCATGTGAACACCGTTTTAGGGCTTTAGTTATTTATATGTTAATATTACTCTAAATTGCATTGTGGCGGTTTTTTTGTTGGTAGATTATTTTAAGTGATGAAATTCTTAAAGTTTTGCATTTTTGAGCTCATTTTTTAATATTTTATAATTTAGCAAAGCGGGCATACTTACATATACCGGAAATGAATCGAGATATTGTATTCTTTTTTCTAACACACTAGGGCTGTTCAGGATCTTGCGCATATGCTTTTGCATTTAGATATTCGTTGCATTTATAAATTCACAACAATAAAAGGCACACGGTTGTCATGACAGCAAGCATAAAATTTGTAAATACATTTCCAACTGCAAATTCAAGATAATTTCCACAACATCCTGAACACACCTACTCGTTAACAAATATAAAGTCCGTTCGAATAGATCACCAATGAAAGGTATCTAGCAGAAACTTGCAGGAGAGTAACGAGGAGGTTAGGCTACCGCTGGGAATTCACGCCGATGATACACCAATTCCGACGGTGAATAACCCCAAAATACTCGGAGTAACATTCGACAGTCTGCTCTCCTTCTCTGCGCACGCAACCGCTATTGTCAACAAAGTACAGAGCCGCAACAAGGTCCTCAAGTCGCTAGCCGGCAGTACTCGGGGCAAAGAAAAAGAAACGTTGCTGGCAACATACAAGGCAATAGGACGGCCGGTTTTAAACTACGCAGCACCAGTGTGGTCGCCGGGGACTAGTAGGACGCAGTGGATGAAGCTACAGACAGCACAGAACACCGCACTCAGGACAGCGACTGGATGCCTCGTGATGTCGCCAGAACACCACCTCCATGACGAGGCAAAAATGCTCCCGGTCAAGGAGCATAATATAATGCTCTGCAAGCAGTTTCTGATTGGGAGCCACAGATGTGGCCACCCAAACAGACAGCTGCTTGCAGAGGAGCCCTCGTCTAGGCATGTCAGGAGGCATCTATACGAACTGACGGACGAAGTCCAGAGGTTCATTAAGCAGCCTCTGGGCCCGTCAACATACCGACTGGCCCTGAACGGAATTCACAGGGAGTCAGTCTCGAGTTATGTAGACTCCAGACCTGTGAATACCGTTCTTGGCACACAACCACCGGACATTGACAAGACGGAGCTTCATCTGCCTCGGGAGACAAGAACCACAATAGCCCAACTTCGCTCTGGCTACTGCAGCAGGTTAAACTCATACCTGAGGAGACTGAACGCGGATGTGCCAAATGAGTGTCCGGCATGCGGAGAGACCCCAAGTGACTCGAAACATCTCTTCGCATGCCCAGGAAACCCGGCATGTCCCTGTGGACCGACCCAGTGGAGGCTGCACGCTTCCTAGGGCTGCCGTTAGTGGAACTTGACGACAACGACTGAGATATCAACCGATCTTTGCGGGGTTCTTGTAGCCGCTACAACAACAACAGGAGAGTAACGAACGATTATCAATAATTGCACTGGTTTACAGCAAAAATGTTCAATGGATGCCACTATCCAATTCCCATATAGAATCGCTCGCTGATCCGAAAATCGACTTATTTTTTTATCATATGGATAAGTTTTCAAGTTTTTTTTTCAATTTACCGTTATTCAGCTTAAGACAAAAAGTGGTTCCACTTAATCACGTTTATCTTTCGAACCAATTTAAAAATCTTAATATGAAATACGCCAAATAAAAGCTTACAAAATTCTGGGTCTGATAGTTTTAGACAAATTAAGTAATCATTCCAGATTTTTGGTTTCTTTTTTTAAGAAAATATGGAAAAAATTAACTTTAACAGTAGAAAAATTAAAACAATAACAGGTATTTAATAAAGAAAATCTATCGATAAACAAAGAAGTAGGTAATGAGATGAGCATAAACCGTGTTGCCATTTTTGTGCTTTTGGAGCAAGATTTAGCTCTTTATTTTTCTATTTAGCTCCGAAAATTGGGTTTTAGCTCCTAGCTCTTGTTTAGCCTTTTTCACATTTATCTAGCACTTTTGTGGCTCCAGAAAGTTTTAGTTGTATTTGATATATATAAGCCAAAACTTAAGCGTTGATAAAATGGAAAATTTCGAGATGCAGTGTATCCACCATAAACTCTTGGATCGGTTAAATAATTTAAAAATTAATTAGAAGAAAATCCTTTTTTCTGATAGCGCGGATTCCGTTTTACCTTACTAATTTTATCTTTAAGGAGAGCTGGAAGTAAAACTTTCCAGAAAAATTTTGCGAAAAAATTATTCAATTTAATAATCTGAAACTACAGTCCTTAACAGTTTGTAAAGTATTTTTCGTTCACTGTTATAAGTGCCATAGCAACAAATCTTGCACCTTATTTTGGTTTAAAAAATTTTTTCAGCATTTAAACTTGTAAAATTCGTTGTTTTTATTAAAATTGTCGAAAATGTAAAAACAACCTTACGTCAATAAATGCTCAACCATACCAAAAATATGTAGTTCTTCATTTTAGCTACTATTAGTATTATTTAGCCCTTTTTAGCTCTTTTTCCGACCGTTTTATCTCCAAACGAAAGTTTTATCTGGCACCACTGAGCATAAAAGCGTGGCTACTTAGGTGTACATGGCGTATGCGTAACATCATTTCCTGCTCATTTTTCATACCAAAAATCTTTGCACATTTTCATTTGACCACTCATTACTTCTTTACTTATCCAATGATTTTCTTCATTAGTAACTTGATTTTTTTGTAACAGAACAGGCTTTAACACAAAGGCAAAAACTTAACACAGAACCTGTTAATTTATAAATTTTTCTCCTGTTAAAGTTTGATTTTTCTTATTTTTTTTTTTATAAAAAAACTGCAATGATTTATTAATTTATCAGAAACTATCAGTCCTATTGGAAAATTATGTGTAGACGGTTTATGGACAATTTCGGTTTGGAAATTGGTTCGTGAGATATACGTGATTAAGTGGAACCACCTTTTGTTTTAAGCTGAATAACGGAAAATTGAAAATATCTCGAAAACGTATCCATAGAATAAAAAATTAACACGATTTTTGCAATCGGCTGGCGATTCTACATGGAAAATGGATAGGGGCATTCGTGGAACAAAAACCAAACACAAATTTGTGATCCAGTGTTATCAGCTTGTCGAAAAGTTTCGCAAAGAAAAACCGGTAAAATCTAAAGAAAGGCCAAATTTTGAGAAGGGACATATATATATATCGACCACTTTGCGCGAAATTATCGTATGTGTGTCTGCCAGAAACCAAATTTTACAGGATACGCTTTTTCCTAATTTTCAGAGTTATTGGAATTTTTTATTTACATATTTATTTTTTAGTACGCCAACAAGATAAAAATTGCATTGTAGCATACGATGAAATGTACAGTAGTGGAATCCGCTCTTCTGTGTATTTGTTGTATCTTGTGTAATTGTAACTGAATGAGCGTGTGATTTGTTGTTGCTAGTGGTAAAATAAATACACTTGCACCAACAATCACACGCTCATCCAATTACACTTAAGCCAGATACAACAAATACACAGAAGAGCGAATTCCACTAGTCTATTTTTGGCGTAACTATAGGGACTTCAATTTCGAAAAAAAGTTGTAGATACGATAATTTCGCGCAAAGGGTGGATTTTTTCAAGCTATGAACATAACTTTTACTGTAAAAAGTTCGGGTTCGGTTCGGTATCGGCCGAACTTCCCCAAAAGAGCCGAGGGTTCGATTCGGCTCCGGATTCGGCCACAAATTCGAGTTCGGTCGAACACTACATAAGATTTAATAACTGGCGAGAAATAATCCAATTTCAGGTGGCAGATTTATAGTTCTGGCTTTTCTTTAAAACTCAAACCTGTATATTAATTCCCTCCTAAATGTGGATATATTTGCCAAGCAATACCGCCCAGGAACTACGACATCATGAGATGTAAAATTTTTTTCACAAAAGGCTCATCAAAATCGAACCACAACTACGAATGCCAATTGAGGCAAGAATGAAGATGGCCATTACCAAAAATTTTTGTTTTCACGTTTGGTGTTTGTTGAAGGACTTTCTTCACAAATAAATTGAACTTGAATCACATACATATTTTACTTGTATATAGCGCACACGTACAAACCTACATAGACACATGTAATTAATTTTTACAGATGTCACCAAAAAATTATATTTGACCTGTAATTGCTGGCGGGCGACCTTCTTTAAGGTCTGATGATTATACGTAAAAATTCAAGTAAACAAAAACGGTGAGTATCAAAATAAAGTATGTGTGTATGAAGATTTGTAGTGTAGTGTATATATATATATATATATACACATTTATAAGACGCACTTTACACCCACTCGTGGCTTCTATGATCTTTAGTAATTACTAATTTAAATTTAAATTTAAATTTTCACTAGCCAACTAAATAAGTAGTGTACAAATTAATTACGCACATGAAAATCTTAACAAATATCTAAGTGCATACATGCTTCAACATGTGTGTGTGTGTGTGTGTGTTTAATGGCACATACATACTTAGGTGTAAGTTAAGCAACTTTCGGCAGTGTACCGTAAAGTTCATTATGTCATAAATTCCTTATAATTCGAGCGCGAAATAAATAGGCGTACGCTTTGCAATGAAAAGCGATGCGTTGTTTTGTGACTAAGCCGGATTCATGGTCATGGTCAGAAGATTAGAAAATTGCAAAAAGTTCAACACTCACCCACTATTAAAATATGCATTAGGGTGGCTCTAATAAGACATTTTCCATGGAAAAATCAGCTCTGCGGAACTTAGTCTCAATGCGATGAAGGAAAGACGTCCTCTAAGAAAAGAATTTTGTTAAAGATAACTCTATGGAAAATGTAATGGATGGATTCACATTTATATATGGGACAGTGACAGCTATTAGAATACCTTCGCTAGAATTTTTAAGGCGAACATACCGACAACAAGGCAGTGGCAAACACCAAGATTTTTACACTGATGGGTCCAAGCTAAGCAAGAGGGATGGCTACGGAGTTATCTATAACGAATTAGGACTGGACTGGAATTATCCGTCTATCAAGCAGAACTTCTAGTTATACAGAACGGCATGCCGTTACGAATACCACGATTAATATCGTCTCAGATAGCCTGGCGGCCATCAAATCAATGAATGTAGTAATGCTAAGATTAAAGGTTACACAGGAATTTCTTCAAAGTCTGCCTCATATGTGTCCCGGAACATAGAGATATTGAATGAAATTGCAGAAGTAAAATTGGGATACCCTCGTAACCTGCCAATTAAGGGATGGAAATAACATTATTCAAGAGGCCAATGGGGCATAGCTAGATGTGGACACTTGTATAACATCTAAGCTATTTTTGGCTGCAAATTGTTAAGAGAAAATACGGAAGTACTGCTGAGCAGTGTACGAAAATAAACTATATTGTACGTTACTATTTCGTTTCGTTTATTACTTTAACAGTTCGGTACAATACGAAACAAAACGGCTGAGTTCACTTTGGCGATAGTACATTACAGTAGTTTAGTAGTTACAGACGAAACAACAAACAAAATGAATCGTGCAGGGAAAATATATTTATGTATGCACATATATGCAATAAACAAATACAAAACGAATGGCTGCAATGAATAAAAAAAATAAAAATGTTTTTTAATTGAATTGGATATGAAAATTTACAGAAAAAATTATTTTTCACGTAATTGAAACGTTTGCATACATATAAAACGTACCCTATGGTACAATTGTCACAAACGAAAAGCAAACGTTTCTCGTTGGGGAAAATGACAGTGAATCTTACAATTTGTTTCTGACTATTTACAAAACTGTACAAAACCACAAATGATATGATAATCGATGAGCAAATGGGAATTGTTTTGTACAGTTTATTTTCGTACCCTGCTGCTGAGCCTCTCAAGAAAGGGCATTTCGATTATCATTGCTTGTGTAATCGGTCATTGGCTATTTGGTAGACATACTTTAAGATAAGGAATATTCTCCCAGGCATATTGCTTAAGTGGTAGAGATGAGGAAGGGGAAGAAACAGCCGAGCACTTCTGCAGTTACCCAGCAGTACAGGAATAAAACCAGGGATCGTAACGGTTCATGATTCTTATAATAAAAATCATAATTCAACCGTTAAAATAGGATTTCTATTTTTCTATCAAGATTAAACGTTATTTTAAGAGTTGATTTTTTTAATCATAAATTTACAGGACATTTTTTTTTTGTAAGGAAGCAAAGGTGTCATAGAAAAAATTATCAAACTTGAGAAATAAGTAGTAACCTAATGTGCATACATACATACATACATATGTAAGCATGTACAAATGATTCAATTCACCAAGTAAAATGTTTTTTTAAATAAGAATTCCCATTCATTCATGTACTAACGATTGCTTGGGGATTTTTTTTTTTGAAAATTTTAAACAAAAAAATCATATTATTTCGACAGTCAAACAAGCATAAAATTGTATAAATTCAGTGTAATATTCTGTTTTTTTTATTAGAATTCACATTGCGAAAACATTTATCAGAAATAAGTTTTCTTTGCTGAAGTTAAAGATACACTCGCATGCACTTGAATAGAAACAATTCATTTCGCTTTTTTTGGCAATTTTTATTTAATTTAATTTCCATGATTTCTAATTAAAATACAGTTCATTCTCTAACAAAAATCATATAAACGAATGTTTCAAACTTCGTAGAGGAGTAAAAAAATGCATACAAATTTTCATAAAATTCATAAATTCATAAAATTTCAAAATTTTTTGAGTATGCAGTTTTGTAGCCCAAAATTAAGTGAAAGCTTGAAGTACAAGTGGCTACAAATTACCGTTGAGTTTTGACAATTTTTCACTTAGGCCGGTCATGCTTTATATGAAAAGAATTGCGAACATATGTATGTACTGTATATGGAACATGAGGCGTAGAAAAATCGGACAAATGTTGGTTCTGCGGCATACATTTTCTATTGGTCAGATCGATGAGGTCCTGGTTTCAAAGCTTTCTCGAATCACACTCCTCAACTACTGAGGCTCATTATTTCATCAGGTAACAGGATCGCACCTTATGTGTGGACGAGGTGAACAAGCCTTATTCAAATTCCCACAAAGAGTAGGCATAACATTAACCACGGCCTTATCAATGTCCTGCAGGGATCGGATTCCAGCAAGTCCGTTTTAAGTCCGCATTGGCGCATAGCATATATAATCTACACCAACTGGAATTCAATATATTTGTGTTTCGAGAGCGAAGCGTCATTCAGGACTCTCGAATTTGAAAATGACCAACTCACCCAGGAGTTGAAGTAAAAAAGTAGGTTTTGGGGATAAAAACTTTATTTTGGATATTGCAACATAAGTTCGGATCACATGACGAGGCAACTTCCGTGGAACTAGTGGTAAGAGAGAGTAATTTGGAAAATAAGCAGAGGCAACCACAAAATGTTTCTACCCCGTCTTGCTCCCGAAACTTAGCAAAGTAGGAGGGCACTTAAGGCTAAACCTCGTTCTGACCGAGAATTCGAGGATGTTGTTGACCCCCGTAAGACATCCAGTCCACAGGCAAGTTCTTTAAACAAACACAACTTTTGCCCATAAAGATCATGGGATCTCACAGTTGTCCCGATTGATCGATAGATCTTTAGTTAAGGCTGTGGTGTATTCATCAATCTCCCTTCGTAGAAAAGAAACCGGTGATAGTAGGGAGCTATCCACTTCGTTAACCTGGATTTCTGAGCCATATCTTGTCACCACAACGGCTATTTCGTTACCTTCAATATTGCCTTGTCCAGGAACCCAGCATAGGGAGGTTTTGCTGTGACTCAGTGAAGCCAGCGATGCGCGACATTTGCGCACCTCTTACGATTTATTTGGTTTGGACGAGGTTTTCGCCGGGCAGAAGGAAATTGAAAGCGTGCAGAATTGGAAAATCCTGAAAAAGTCTGAAAAATCCCGACAACTGAATAATCAAGAATCGTTGCAATAAATGCCACTTATGGACATAAGAACTAGAGTCTGTACTTTTGAAATTTCGAAAGAATAGCATTTATTCTACTTAAATATTTACCTACGCACATACATAAGTCTGTATGTATAATTAGTGTACCCCACTATTTAACATATTCGTCGAAAGTGTGTTGATTCCGCTTTTCATGAAAAATTAAATTTAACCAGCTATTTAATTAGTAAGAAGTCGTTGACATTGAAATAAATGGATTTCAGCAAAATTTTCAACGTAGTTTCGAGGGAGATTTGCATATGTTTTTATAATCATACAAACTTATATATACTTATACTATGTACAACACTTTATCAACATACATACATAGAGAAAAATCACGCATGCGCCGCATCGTCGCTATTTGGTTTCCAGCAGAAGCTAATTTTTTCGCTTTAATTCTGTTTATGTTGAATTTGTATTGTACTTGTTGATCTACATACATACATATGTACCACTATTTGACTCTAATTATTCCACATGATTTTTACGAATTTTAGCCAACCATTTTTCCACGCTCAGCTACCTACCACTTTGCCAATTTTCTGATTCTAAGATAATTAAAATATACTATGTGGATATGTGGAGAATTACTCTCATTGGAAGAGAGACATACCTACTGGTGTATGCCCCATTGCCGTTAATACGGCCTCTGATCCACTCAACCAACCGCTCATGGCTTTTCTCTTCGCTTCACTATGACCCAGCGGCAGCGCTATTACCAATGATTTAAGCCAAAAGCTACCAAAAATTATTACAATGTTATTAAGCGGTCAACTGATGGGTAGCAAAGAAGGAAATATTAAATAAATACCAGGTCAAGAGCCGGGATGCGCGCATTCGCATTGTATTCATAAAACTAGATAGTCAGCGGCTTGGTGCGCAGAGCGACTGATCCCCTCTGAGGCTTTGATTGAGTAGTGATTAGCCAGCTGAAAATACCTATATTCTAAAAATACAAAAAGCAATTACAAAGCGCTGAACAAATGTGGTGCTAAAGTGAAAAAAAAACAGATTTTGCAAAAACATATAAAATTAATTGTGTTTGGTGCTTAAATTTAAGTAATTCTGTGCACAGTGTTGCTGATGCGAAGAAGAATTAGAATGAAGGAACTGAAGTGGGTATGTAATTGCTGATTCACTGAGGAAGATTTTGAATTAAAACAGATTCCAAACAGCAGGAAAAAAATGTTGAGCTTTAAACAAGCCAAATAGGTAGATACATATGTATGTAGTTAATTATGAAATTTCCTGTTGTTTTCTTTATTTCTGGTCTGTTGATCGATACAAATAGAGAGCTGTTTTATACAAACGTTAGGTGATTTGACCCATTTTTGTAGCAAAAATTAATTATGACCAAATAAGTAAGTAGATTATTTACCAAATAAAAATTTCAACCCCTGAAGACGGAGGGGTCGTTGGGAGTCACTTTCCAATTTGTGTTTTTTTTTTTAACTTTGGAAAGAAACTTTTCTATATATTCGTATTAAAAAAAAAAGAAAATGCCAATTAGTTGTAAAAACTATTTACATAGGGACTATTTTTGAAAAACATTTCCAAATTATATTAATTTCAATTGAAAATCTGAAAGGTCTGATTTTCCTAATTTGTCTGCTGAAAAGTTGCAAGAATCAGCCTTTGCAGTAACAAAATTGTGAACAGCTTATTGTTTCCTCTCTTGGTTGAATTTTCACCTCCGTCCGTACTGACAGTATCAAGAATATGTACTTTCAAAAAAAAGCCATTTTGTCAGAAATTCCAAAAAATCGCTACATGAAATTGACGAACTAAACTAAAACTCTTTATTTTGACAGTTTAAACACGGCCAAATAAGGCATTTTCACATATTTTTCAACATTTCAAAAGCGTTTTTAAAATTAATTTTTAAGAAAGAAAAAATTATGTATTTTTTTCTCCAGTAAAAATGTTAAAAAAATACGAGTTTTAGTTCATAAAAGTATTTAATTTTTTCTTTACTTCCTAATAATAATAATAATAACGATGATAATCGGAAAAAATTTGAAAAGTAAAAAAAAATTAATAAAAATATCGTAATGTCAAAAGCTTGTAAAAAATCGTGGGTCATTTTGAAAGTCCTGAAATTTTCAAGTTATGTGTTTTATGAATATAAGAACTTTTGTACTTAAATTTTTTTTTTTGTTAACTCTAAATAAAGTTGTAAGAAAACATTTTTATTTAATTAAAATTTATTATTAATTTAAAGTTTGCAATACAATTTTTTCCAAAGTTCAAAATTCATATTCTTAAAAAAACACATCCATGAAAATTTCAGGATCATTTAGGAACAAAAAAATTTTACCATAAATGTATATGTATAAGTTTTTTCATTTACGATTTAAATTTCAAAGTTTTGTATTTTTTTTTAAGAACAAAAAAGTTAGCCATAAATGTATATGTACAAGTTTTTGCTTTTACGATTTTTTAAATTTCAAAGTATTGTAAATTTTTTTTAATATACATACATACATATATTTTGAATATAGCCCCAAATATCCCCTTTAAAACGAGGTTGGGCAATTTTCGTAATTGTAATAGTTTTTGAGATATTCAAAAAATAAAATGGCTATTATGAAATTTTGAATTTTCGAAATTTTTTGTTTATTATTTTCTTTTGGCAGAACCAGCGTTGCTGCGTTGGTAATTTTTTACCAAAACTCGTAATTTTTTTCTTTAAAGAAAGAATTTGGTATTGTTTTTCCATTTGGTACATTTTTTTTCAATTTGGTAAATTTTTTCATCGTAAGCCTTTTAAGTTTTTAATACTAACTTATTACTTATAAAAATTTAGATCTTCTAACCTCTTTACAATTGCAGAAAACAAAAAAATTGCTTATGTACATATGTATGTGTCTGCACCTTAAGAGAGCCAACAATTTAAAGGTCCCTTTCACGTTACAATTTGCTTTGACAACACAAACCTTTTTGTATGAGTGTGCAATATAGATGTTTAAAGATACCGCCAAATATTCCCAATATGGCGGCTCGATCACAACCCCTACAGTCCCACAAATCAGATTCTTGGATCATTTTTACCTGCTGGAACAATTAAAAATCTTTGTGGCAACACTGGGCAGAACTTCGTTATACGAAAAGCGTAGAAGAAAACTTCTGACCAAAGTACGGCCAAATCAAAAATGATCGATTCCAACCCGTTGATCGATTTGACATGGATTGGCCCATTTGTATATTCTACCATATATATTTGGATCATAACTCGCAATCTTCTCAGTTTACGCAAATTATTTTAAAATATTAGCTTGTTTAGTAAACAACAACAACAAAAACTTTATTACAGTTTGACATTGAAATAAGCAGACGCAACCAAAAGAGAGGTAAGATATTTAAACCACACCGTGAGCGAGCCCAAAGCCATGACTGCAGCTTGGCTACCAGAGTAGATGTTAACCATCTTCTGGCTCTCAAGATATATGATTTTGTTCCTTTTTTCCAAAAAAAAAAATAAAAAATTGTGCGTCGCCACCAATCGACTGTTTCCTTAATAACAGCTATCTCTGCCAGGAAAATACTACAATGATCTTGATGAACAGAGAACTGCCTGTAAAAGATCCCTCCACCAACCCATCCGTCAAGCTTCAACCAATTCGTGTACAAGTTCACTGGTGCCGCTTTCCAACTTCTACTTCCCGTACACATATTCCCAGGGGGAATGTTCAATAGGTGAAGAAGCCCTTTATAATCAAAGTATTGCTGTTCTTGTTTTATCGTGGAAAAGTGGTATCATGAGAAGATGGGTCCGAAACAAGTTTTAATTAATGCAGATTTGGGGATAGTATGCAATAACGATCTAAGAGCGTGGAACATCGATATTTGATCAGACAATTTGATCTGTATTCGATCGGAGTTTCTTCTGTTCTGCTGTTGGTATGGTACGGAATCTATTTTTTCAGCAATATTTCAATGCAAATATTTCAATTATGGAGAGCACAAGAATTTTATTGTGATTGTGTAACTTTTACTTTCAATATGAAAAAAAAATATATTTTTTTTTACAACAAATTTAAAACAATGGTCATATTATCACTTATTAATGGCAATAGAGCTTTTATACGTCGGGCTAATTACTCACACCAACAGAAAGTTTAATAATGAAAAAATTTAACAAAAGAGAAATAAAAACAAAAAGTCCAATTTTATATTCCCAAAACATTTTTATACTACCGCGCAAATGACCACGACACATTGGCGCGCACTTAGCCATTTATTAATTTTCCGAATGTACATACATATGTATGTACGTTAGGGAGGTCGAACTGTTTTTCCAACTACCCCAGAACTGATAAATATCGAATTATACGGAAAAATTATCAAAAATACATATATTAAGTAAAATTTTAAGTTTTTCCCTTTCCAATTGCCTAAAACAAAAAATTTATTTGTTAAACAAATTTGAGTTTTGTAGTTAGACTCGCTATATTTTCAATGCAAATTTATTTTGTTGAAAATAAAAAATTACTAAAGTTTAAAGGAATAAATCTAAAAATCTTGTGAAATCTTGATTTTTAATTCCATAAATCAAAAGTATGGGCTTTTATCTGTTTGAAAAACAAAAAAAAAAAATGTACTACCTTTTTGAAATTGCGAAATTATGCGATTTTTGTAAATGCATATCACTATTTTTTTTAATTTCTTGTTAATGCCAACCGAAGTGAGGTTTAAAGGGGTTTATTTCTTAACTGCAAGTAGCAGGGTTGCCAGCTGTTAAAATAATCAATTCCATTTGAACTAAGGGATTTAGGTAATTGAAATATGTATGTATGTATCACAATATAAGTGGCAGTCACGCGAAAGAGGTTTAAGAAAGTCTTAGCTTGCAAGTATTTTGAAAAAGGTTGCCGCCTGTTTGTAAATTCGAATTAAATTAAATTAGAACACAATTTAAGTATATGAAATTTTATAAAAAGTTTTTGTTAAGCGAAAGGGTTACGACATCGTATTTGTGGACTTATAAATCGATGAAATGCATCATAATCAATTAAAAAGTGAATTTCGCATTTTTAGTCATTTACGTTTTTTTTTAATTTCAACGACGATGTCAGTTACGTCCTTTCCATACTAACTAACGATATGTATGTATGTAAATGATACAAGAATCCGAATTTACAACTTGAAACTCGGGTTCACTAAGAAACAAATTTTCATTGAAATTTGTCCATAATCCCAATTTTGCCCACATTTTATATGGAAGGGAACACTGTGTAACTTAGAGCTTTAATTTTTCGTATGTAAAATTTATGGATTCAAATAAAAAATAGTTTACCACCCTAATGTACTTATATAGCATGTATGTATGTATGTGTATACTACATTTTGATTCTGTACTTAATTTTTTTTTTTATAAACCGCAACATAAGCGGAAGTCGCTCCTGATGCTTGACTAGCAATGCGTGGAAAGCACGAGCGCGCACTTTTCAACATTTGGCCAATTGAATTTTCATATATAGCCTGTGTTGCGGTTACTGTTGTTGTTGCACTCATTTGTACACATCGCTCCACAATTTTTATATATATATTTTTTTAACATTTAAGCAGCCGGTATTGGGGCTCTCAGGGCTACTGATGGCATAGAATGATGTCAATGTTATTTATCATAATTTTATGAAATTAAAATTGGCGTAATGTAAACTTAAAAATTGTGCTTAAAAATCCATATTAACTTTCAGTGTTTATATAAGCGAAAATTTTTTTGTTAACAAAATATTGGTATTGGAGTACGAACGAAAAATTATTTATTTAACTGCATTAATTAGATCCGGTGTAGGTAATCATAATGGCGCTGACATGGACAGTTTTGTGAGCGAATACATATCACCGAGCGGTTGTGTTTGTGATGACAGCAGTGTCACCAGGGAAGTGTTAAACGCAGTCACTTTGCTTAATCGTTGGTTTGTCATGCTGGTGTGCAACTTTGTATCAATTAGCAGCAGTCGCTTTTTTTTTTGTTTTTGTTGCACAATCAAATTGGGAATAAGCGTCTGAATGTGTGGTGGAAAATTATGATTTACAATCTGTGATGTTTTTGTAGTTGTATGCGTTTACAGGTTCAAAGCGAAGTGGTGTCCACCGATACCTGTGAGCGTCCATTTCCCCATGTTATTATACTGTTTATTTTATTTTATAGATAATGTACATACATGCATATATAGGTATGTGATTGTCCATATGTATGCATTCCTCCATATTTTTCCTCTGCAAATATTGTGTTTTTTTTTTTTTTTATCGTGTGGCGCGCATTTGTCCCAAATAGTTGCTGAATTGTAAAATTAAATTGAACTAATGCCTTTGCGATCGACGCCGTACACGGCATGAAGATCGATGGGTTCAGTGGCATGAAGATTTATCGATAACGAAATTATTGTCCTCATTTCACTGCAACTATTTTTGGTGTTCTGCCATTTATGTATTTGCGTTCTAACTTTTTCAGCAACTATAGTTTTCTCTATAACATTCTACTACCTGAAATTATTTTAATGAGGTCAACTTTTTATAGCGATTTTTCGATGTAGCGGAGCTGAAAGTCTGGACTGTTGAAAATATTTTTAACCAAGTATATACCTTAGACTATACCACCTTTAAAGCAAACAACGTAAAGTTCGCCGTATACCTCTGAGTTTAAAATAATTTTGGATGGCAACCTGGGCAAAAAAAATTTGTTTGCCGAACTCGGGGCCGCCTTTTAACGTTTTTCAGTGACATCCACATTTGACAACAAATAGTTGTTTACAATAATAGTACTGGAATAATCAAAGTAATTCCTCAGGAGAAACGTAGTGATTTTTGTAGAGCTTAAAAAATGTTCTCATCGAGACCGAAACATCGTTATGTATATATCTATATATAATTATTTAGAAGAGAGCCTAAGTCCGCCAAAAAAATTCGAAATCGCTTTCGAATCGAAACACTTCCTTGATACGTGATACGTTAGGATGGTAGGTACTTGAGTTCCAAGAGCTTTCGAACAAAACCCGAATTTCTCCTCGAGACAGGAACATCGATGTATCATTATTTAAAATCCGACTGTAAATCGAAGTTACGCCAGCCTCTCATACCAACTGTATACAGTTCTTTCTGCACTTGATCCTTCTACTGTGGTCTTGAGCGCCAACGTTTTCGTTGTCCAACTCTAGGTGCTGGATCTCTCCGTCGCAGTATCGTCATCCAAACGAACTATTACCCAGGCCTTGAGCAGCCTAATTTCTAGAGCTTTTCCCAAGCCATCTCGTAATTGTTAGCGTAATGTTTATTCATCGAGTTGCTTTTCAATTGCCTACCGAGCTAGTTTAGTGAACAGAAAAATACACTGAGAATAGCATAAAGACGAAACCGGTTTGATGCCAAACCAAGAAAGTAAGAGGGAAATTCGTCGTTGGTGGGAAGAATCTGCTGACTTCCCTGCATGAAGGAACGCGGCACAATTTAAGCTTAACTTCGAACTGAATAGGTATATTATATTCATCGAGTACCAATCTAAGCTTGTGTGAGCAAATCCAATTTTTGGCAGCCAATGTCAGTTACGCGGTTTTGCAGAATGACGATACGCGGTTTTGTACTTTAAACGACGATATGTACATATACGAGTACTTGCTCATAATAATCTAAACTTCCTTCTCTATATATGTACATAGGTTATATTGCTGGCTTTATTGCTCCAACAAGAATGGATCACAGCTGCACAAAAACAACAAACCACCTCCTCTAAAACAGAATCATCTATAGTACAATTGTACGATTCAAATCGTGAAGAAGCAGCAGCACCACCACCAGAAAGTGCTTTGGGTTCAATATATCGCAAGAGTCGACAATCGAGATGTGTGCGATGCTATGAGGATCGGTGAGTAAACGTTTGAGGAAAAATTTGCAGTTAGGGGACTCTATTAAACTCGTAAAGTCTTAAACTGTGTAAAACTTGTAAGTTTCCGAGGCTTTTATGTGAACGCCCTCTTTGTAAAAAGGTGTAAATAGATGCGTAAAGGGACTGTCTCACAGATCAACTAGAATTTTGTGAAACAATTTTCGTTTTGTAGTATTTTCCATATCATCCCGCCATCTTGTCTATATCACTCTTGGCTAAAATACAATTAAAAATGTTGAAAATTAGCAGAAAACTTATTCTTATTTATTTTCGTTATTTTATCATACATTTTAGTATAGAAATTTTGGCCCCTCGGCAACGCTGAAGTTTACGAGGTCGTTTGCGCATCAAATTTGACTAGTAACTTTACGATGGGTTCGTAAATAGAGCTCCATACAAATTTTTGACAGTTCTTTTACGAGGCTCGTAAATTTGCAGTTTTACGAGGTTTGCGAGGCTTTTACGAACTCAAGGGAAAACTCCTAGTATGTTTATGAATTAATTGCATAATTTTACATTTTAGTCAAAGCGATGATCGCAGTCGTTACTACGGCAGTAGTGGTAGTGGTTACTCTAGTCGGTCAGCGGATAATTGGTAGGTAACATCTAAACCAATTATAAAATAGGAAACATTGCACAAATCAAAGTACGCATATTTTTTTTTTTAGGTATTACCCATATGACCGTTATGACGATCGTTATCGTTCAGAAGATCGTTACCGCCCTGAGGATCGCTATCGTCCGGATTATGATCGATATTCCGCTTCCTACTCAGCGGGATCTTCATATTATCGTGACAGGTATGTAAAATGCTATACAAAATTTTGTCATTGTATCTAATTTTTGTAATTTGTGCAATAAAAGTTATAGCTGGTTATTTTACATCGATTTAATGAAAAAATTCCAAATAATTACTTAAATTTTTTTTGTTCTCTAAACAATTTTTATAAGTGCGTCAATTGCCATGAATGATAAAAAAAGACAACAATTAGACGAGCTTTAAATATTTGGTTATTTGAAAGCTTTCAAGAAATTATTTTCAAATGATCTTGACCATAAACCGCATACTTACATAGTTAAAACATTGTTCATAAAAAATTAATTAACGAATAAATTATAAGCTTGACGTCATCCATAGTGAGTTATGACTGTGCGCTCGCATGATCAATTGCAGGGGAGTGTGGCTTGTAGTACAGCTATACCTATAGTATAAGAATGTATCTACATATGTACATATGCATATTAGGGTGATCCAAAAATCAATGCGAAAAAAGTAAAGTTCGAATTTTACTGCTTTCATGAATGTTTATTTCGAGATCAAAAAAATATTTAGAGGTCGCTCAAAGCGCTCAAACTTTTCCATGTATTTTATATTGGGAAATGTTTCGTAGAAATAATGTAGAATTTTTCAAAATCAATATTTTTCGATCGAAAAACTTTGTTTCTTTTCAGAAGACTTGCAATAAAAAATTTTTTATGGGTCCGTAATTGATTTTTCTTGGATTTTTTGGAGGACCTATAAAAAATAATTAATATTACAAATAGTTAAATAATCAATTAAATATTATTATTGGAAGTCTCCTGAAGATAAATAGAGGTTTCCAATAGAAAAATATTGATTTTCAAGGATTCTATACCATTTCTACGAAAAATTGTTTCCTTGAGGTCTATGATATTTGGAACAACAAAATGCCTCCTTGAGACAAGAACACCGATATATCATATTTTAAGGTCCGATTTTAAGTGCCGAAGATATGACGAAAAATTTTTAAAGGCAACCCCAAAAAAGGTCAAAATTTTTTTAAATTGAAATGAAAGGTCTAATCCCTTTTTCTGGTACGGTCTAATGTACATACCTTTGAATACGGATTCTATGTAATGCTAATTCTTTGTTGCTTCCACGCCGACTAACCTCTAACTTACTAAATATTTTTCCATTCCACAGAGATGATCGGTTAGGTGCACCAACCTACGATCGCTACGAAGGACGTGGTGGCCAAGATCGCTACGATCGGCGCGGTGGTTATGAACAGGATCGTTATAGTGATTATTATCGTGGTATGTTTGTTTTGGAACTTTAAAAGAGCAAACATTTAATTTAACATTTTTTCCCTCCACTACTCTCTAGATCGTTCCTACGAACGTCCGCGTGGTGGCAGCTACGATCGTGACTACTACGATCGCTCCTCATCATCGCGTTACGATTATCGCAACTATCGTCCTTACGATGAAACTTACAGGTAATGTAACGTTGATGTTATTAATTAAAAAAAAAAAAATATTAGAGTCTACGCTTAACTCTTCGATGTACATATTTATTTATTTGTTATTTGAAACTGCTTTACCTTACCACTCCTATTTATTTTCTGTAATTTTAAATGTGCAATATCTCGCTTCTTCTTGTTTTCATTGCATATTGTCTATCTACCGTCACTGTAAAATAATGCAAACCAACAACAACACAAAATTGTAAAACATAAAATACCGACAAATCGTTAAACATCAACACCAAAAACTTTCCGCCTGTCCGCTGGTTTACCATTTCTTGCACTTGTTTTCATATTACTTAAATATAAAAACTATACTCGTATATGTGTACATATGTATGTAAATATACACCGCTTATGACCGTTCGCACCTACATACACCTACCATTTCTCCCTTACGCTCGCCCGTTTGCCCACTTGCCCTCGTCTCCCCCTGCAATGATCTTCAGAGGACAATCAGGCTTCGATAATTCTGGACGTGGCTATTATTTCGCTGCCGATGAAAGCGATCGTCGCCGTTATCCAACCAAATCCAGCTACGATGAACGTGGCTCTTCATCGCCCTGTGGTGTACAAGTTAGGGATTGTCCCTACGCATCTGGCGGCGGCGGCTACAGTGATACAACGCAAGTATCCTCAGGTCCTATAAACAGTCAACGTGGGTATGGTTATGGTTATAGTAATAGTGTGAGAAATGATGGTAACGGAAGCGGAAGCGGCGCTGGCGCTGCGACGCGAAACACAAGTGCCAATAATAGCAATAATAATACCAGCCAAAACCAAGGGTGGAGTTATGTAGATGATCGTAATAAGGAGTCGAGCTCGCGGGGTAACGGCAGGGATGGAAACAGAGGACGTGAACGGGAAGGGGAACGGGAGCGAGATCGAGATGGGGATCGGCAGAGGTAAGTTCAAGTAGTTAGAGTTTTTCACAGTGTTGGTTATTGTAAATATGTACAGACATAAATTGAAAGCCTATCTATGTGCGGAGCTGGTATCTATAAAAACAAATTAATAGTCTTGAGAGTGTATAAAGGCTTCAGACTTCCCAACTCAGTATGGCCTCCAAATGTGCCAAGATAAGGCACATTCCCCTAAACATAATTATTAGAAATGGTCATTATAGGGTCAGTTAAATAAAGTACATCTGCCAAGCTGGTAAAAAAAGTGAGAGTCCAGGTAACTGAGCCGCCTTGTCTGCTTACCAGGACAACGACATAGGAAATGGTTCATCAGTGCCCCCTATTCTTTATCCCGGCAACTTCTGCAAATAGCACAGCCTTCTCAGACCCTTAACTTCAAAAGTTTCTCAGTCCATCTTGTTAAGCCCTGGACATAAAGACCTTCAGTCTGCACAGTCGTACCCGTTGGTACATAAGCTTTTGATTATGGTACGCTCGTCACTTTTTCCGCTACGGTGGTTAAAGGAGATTGTCTAGTTTGCATTTCTCCAGCTGTGTCTAGCCATCTCCCATTAATAACCCAGGCAAGCCAGCAATGTAGGACTTCCGCGTACGATTCCCAACTTCACTAATTTGTCTGCCAGCGAAGATAGTGACTTTTTATGATAGAGATCTGCTAAATATTCTATATTAAACAAGCTACCTTCTTAATTCATGGCAAAAGTTTCTGCAGAAAATCCGCTGCCATCGTCGTCCAGACAATATCCTTAATCATTTTTTGCTTTGAATCTACACGATTTACGAATAAAGAGAAGCAGACGGTTAGCTGTCAAAGCGCTGAGGTGTTCGTCTCTCAACTCTTCGCTGCCAAAGAGGTGTCGACACAATTTCCTCGGAACTGTGTTAAAACGCTCAGGTGTTCATCTCTGAACACATTGCTTTCAAAGGCCCAATACCTAATCTTTGCCATCTCATCCTCTTCAAGTGTGCTTATTACAGTCAGAAGTTTATGCCACAATAAGTGCCAGCCAACAGTCCCACAAGTTGTCTGCAGTTCCCTATGCTCAATGAAAGCGCATACCTAGCATTCTAAAATGTGTAAGCCCGGGCTTAGTATTTGGGTTAAGTCAACTTTCAGCCTCAGGGAACTCAAACTGAACTATCTTATCGAGGATTGGATTGCCAATTTTGCTGAATGTATTGCGGCCAAAGAAAAATACAACAGTATAAGTCAGGTGTACCAGTCATGGATCGTCATGGATGTAGCAAACAGTAAATTTTCGATAAGAATGAACTTCGTTTGTCAATTTAAATAATTAATAATGCTATAAGGAATGGCAAAGACACCTTTAATATGCTGAAATAAGAGATGAGGGAAATACACCTCCTCTGGGGCTTTTATAGCCAACCATATAAGCCAAGATCAAGCATTCGTTTGGCGTAAGATGCTTTTAGTATACGTAAACGACATTAATATGGTTTTATTTACTCTCAATACCCCCTATAGCGGCAAAGTACCTTCTAGCGCTTTCTGGGAGGGCATATCATAGTTGGAAGCTAATGACATAGAAGGTGTAAAGGACTTGGTTTACTTTCATAGGCACCGGTATAAAAATTACTTCTACTAACGTTAGCCGTGGTTCGAATGAAGAAGAAGAAGAAGAAGTTATCTGCCGGTAGTTATTTGGGCTCGGTCAGCAATTTGAAAGCCGAAACTATAGCAAAGAAAAAAATCAGGCTTTTGAAACCTGTAACTAATTATTCCCCGGTATAGGGCACCACAATGTGGAAGAAAGTCGTCAATTAAATAAGTAAATCCGTAAGAATACACTTATTTCAAGAACAATCCAATTAAATTCTTTTTGTGTTGCGGAAAAATGCCAATTTATCACTAGAAGATATATTCCCATTATTAATACATATTAATGCTTTGGTCAAATTCTCTCGAGTTTTTCGAGGCCTTTTCCAGTTTGTATTATTTCCATATAAACATAAAGATAGGTCTTAACTGTGCATATACTATAAGCACAATCGTTTTGGTTTATTTTTTATTTAACACCCTCCTGATTCATTTTATAATATCATATATACTACACCCATATAAATACACATATAATATAATCTTCTTGTGAATGGGTAAAATAATTAAAAGAAGGCTTTTACTCCTCTCACCTCTTACAGCAATTCCTACAGTGGCCGACCGCCACGCCCACTAGGCGGCAGCTACCTCTTCGACAGAGACTCGAATGCGTTAGGTGATGAAAAGACGACAGACAATGCAGCAGACAAGGATAACAACGGCGACATTAAGGCCAATGGCGTCAGCAACATTCCATCGTCAGCGAATGCAGGACAAAACAAGGACATAACCAATGGTGGCGGTGGTGGTGTTGACGGTAATGGCTCAATACAAATGCAAACAATTGTCAGGGATAGACAGTGAGCAGTTCATCGAAAGTATTAAGCTTTGATGGAAGTCAGAAATTTTCTTATCAGTTTTTGTATTATTTTATAACATTTGCAAAATTTAATTTAATGCTAACCGTAAAAAAATGAGATGTGAAATAAGAGAATCTTTTGCAAATAAAGCATTTTTTAAGTGTAAAATATTCGAATTGTAAAAGAATTCAATGGGAGGTTATCTTAGTACCGCCAAATTACGAAAATCTGAAAATTGTTTTCCTGGTCATCATACATAAACATACTTTTTTCAGGCTCACACATACTGTAAATACTGGTTTACCAAATATATCGACTCGTGCGCCACCTGTCGTCAAAATTTTTAGTGGATTTATTCCTTTTCTTGTAGCTAATATAAGTTCTAAATATGAACCAAATCGGACTATAAATACGGGATTTTTAAATATCTAGACTCCTGCGCCACCTATGGAATTAACTCATATTTCGTATTACATTGTCATCGGATTCATCGGAGCCAACTGTGAAGTTGCAAGTCTCTAGGTCTTCGGAAAGTTGGTCAAAAATTGATTGTAAGATTTGCCCCTAACAAACATATACCATACAAACATACATACATACAGACCAAGTTGAATAAAAGCTTGTAAAAAGTCTAACTTTAACAGGCCAAAATTAAAAAACAACAGATCTTTTAACAATTTTTTAATTTGTAATTAAAAAAAGTTGTGAATGATTAAATGAAAATGCGCAATAGATTTTTGTATGAAATATCCCGCAGGAAATGTTACTCATACGCCATATATGGTCAACAGAAATATATCAAAACTTCCTCTACTAGCCATTCAAGCATTGAGTTTTTCAAGCGCCCCTTTAAAATATTGGTACACTTGAGAGATATTAATCCATGCCTTATGAATGGCTTGAACCTTTTAAAAGCAATACGTCAAAATGAGCAGGTGAACTAATGACCGCATGGCGAACATTATTGTATGTTTGGGATAGCAGTGATAATATAAATAATTTCTCTTGAAATTTACCCAACAGATATAGCGATTTTCACCACATAAATACTTACTAAACTATGCATAATTAGCAAAATTAAAGGTTCTAGGTATATGCGCATTAGTGTTGCCAGATATTTTTTTCAGCTATACCGGACACACGAGTGAGAAATAAAGGATTTGCTTTAAAAGCCCAACTACGAACCATATCTTAACAAAGGTGATCCATTTCAACGAAGTAATGCTCAGATTAGTTATAAGCTTATGATAAATTTCGTTTATTTCATGGCTACACTTGTTAATTTACACTAAAATATGTATTGGACGTAAACAAATAATTGTCAAAACCATAAAAACAAATTAAAAGGTACAGTTGCGGTCAACGTAATAGCAGCAAAACTCAAAATGATTCGTTTAAAATTTGGGTCGATCTATATCAGATAACACATAAATAAAAGTATCAAAGTTTGCACAAAGTTCACAAAAACTTATTAAACCTAAAAAAAATTTCATTAAAATTTAGATTTTTTTATTAGATTTCCTAATTCATTAATTTTTCAGAATTTTTTTTTTTGTCGGTGTTGTTATATGGAAGAAAATTCGCAACACCCTCCACATAAAAAGTTATTATATTTCTCTAACAGAGTTGCGTGCAATAATACTGTCTAATGGCATACTCACAATAGTCGCGTTTAAGTATGACCATTTTGAGTAGAAGTTTACAGGTTGAAATGAATAATGAAATTATTGAAAGTTCGGGAAAAATCTTGTCCCGGCGGAACATTTTAAATTTAATGCAAAATACGTGATGCCCCGGCAAATACGGGACATGTGGCAACGTTAATGCCCATATACACTAGACAGAATATGTTTTCGTACAGTGTTTTTTTTTATATATTTGCAATGTTTTTCGTAATAAATTTTTTTCGTTAATTTTATTTATTACAAAAACATTGCAAGTACTAAAAACAAAACATTGTACGGAAACATATTCTGGCTAGTGTATGTGTATATCTAGCTAGATTTTTTTAAGATGCTAAAAACAACCGCATTCCGAACAAAGTTATAATACTCTTGTGCATAAGTGTGCTCGGATATAGAGAAAAAAATGGTGTTATCTGTGGTACTCAACAACTCTTGTGGTTATCAAACTATTTCGTTATCACTGATTTCGATAACAGCAAACGAAAACTATGCTATGTAAACCTTGGCAAATACATACGTAGGGGCTAGACGGTAATGCATGTTTGTTGAGCTCTACATTTGCACCAAGCAAAGCAAAGTGGTGCCATCATGGTGTCGCGCCAGCAACAGCGTGTAATATTTTGTGTTATCGGCATAGGTTCCCTGGTATACTTGTTGTACTGCAGCATTGGCGTGTATAGATTTGTAAGTGTGGCAGTTCGACTTCGGACAATTTGATGTATATTTTATTTATTTTTTCAAAACATCTTACTTCGATAATGACATTTCTATTTGAAAAAGACAGTGGTGATAAATTGTGCTCGAAATTACGCGCGCATCACTAACGGACAGTTGATGGAATTTAAAACCGACACTTCTGACTGAATGTCGCGTTATTGGTTAGTGCATCGATGTAGTGATTTTTATTAGGACCGCAGGCAAAAAATGACCATCATCTACATATGTATTACCCTCATCAATACATGTGATTTCCCATCCCTCTCACTGTCATTATTTGACAGGAACTTTTGAGAAAGTGTTAGTGAATATGTAATAAATTTTTTTTCGCGATTGTCCAGAATTTTTTTCTAGTGATTGACAGAAGTCCTATGTAACTACATACATACATACATAAGTATGTTTTGCAAAACGAATTCAACGGTGCGTTTTACTGTTTTTGAGAATACATATGTATGTACATGTGCATACGACATGTACGACGTGGGCGTCTGATGCATGCGATCGCAAGGCTATTTATTGCTCGGCGGCCAAACATAGCGTCGCGGTCCAATTTGTCCAACTTAGCGGTATGGAAATGTGAAATTTTTGCTTTGGAAATGAAAACGAAAACAAGCAATGTCAAGAAAACAAATGTCTAGCAGGCTAATAAACAAGTGAAATGTTTGAGTGGTTGTGAGTTGCACAAGTGCCTAAATATTTACAAAACAAATAATCCACGCGCCATTAAAAAATACAAAAACAAAGGCACTCGAATATACCTAAGAGAGACGCAGTAGTATTACTTGGACTTTATTGTTTCTATCTATGTATTTTAATTTATAAAATTTGAGTTTTTAATTTTTTCATTTCTCCAACACATTTTTCGCGCCTAAAAATAGCACACCACATCTCATCAAAATACGAATCAAAATTAAAAATGTGCCACATTTACAAAGCGAAATGCGTTCGCGAGTGCTCTTTGTTGGAAGTAACGTGGAAGCGAAAATACAAAGTAGAGCTAAGATTTTGAGTTTACTTTTGGGGCGAGTGAAGTGCGGATAGGTTGCCTGTCAGTACCGCGGCTGCGGCTAAATAGATAAATTCGTATACAAACTAAATATATTTATACACGATTGTGCTAATATTTCAGAAATCGTGCTGATCAATCAACAAGTGTCTCTTCGAAAGTGTTGTGAAGTTTTTGTTTAAGATTTTTTTTTTTTTTTTAGTTTTGTAGTGTACATATTTGCTTGAGATTCTGCCTTTACTAAAGACTTCAACAAGATTTTAGTGAAGCGATTCGTGATAGTGTAAAATGACATATAGTGCAAGAAATTTCCGCCAAAATACTTTTTGCTTACAAAATTGAGCCAATTTCACCACTCACGACACCAGCATGCTGGTACAATCATAAAATTTTTTTAATTAGTTTTTGAAGTCGCACCAGCAGCTGGTACAATCACACCACAAGAACATACACGGCCAATCGACTTGGTGGGCCATTTAACAAATTAAGCGTATTAACGGCCGTAAACTTATCTATTTTAAACTACAGTTAAATCGTTAATAGATAAGTTAACAGCCCTAACACGTTTACAGTATGTATGTATAAAAACGTAAGGAATATAGTTGTTAGTTTAAAAATGTTAGTTTAAAAATTCATCTCTTACATAAAAAAAAAAATGAGATCAAATTAAGCCAAGGATGAATAAATTCTCCAAAGGGCTAAAAAAGGGCTAGGGGCAATTTTAAATTTATGTGGCCAAAAAAAAGTATGTGGTAGCTAAATATAGCCACCAAAGGGCTGAAACGGCAACACTGTTTAGGATGGAACTATGCCTGAACGGCATTTCCCTGCAGGGCCTGAAGGCATACAGTCTGATGGCGCTGTAAGCAGCCGAGTGTAGTTTCCTCAGTCTCAGGGCACTCTCCTTGATAAAGAGATCAATCGGTGGCATATGGCATTCAATGCATCGGATGGAGATGATCTGATTAACCCATTAATGGCAAGGCAGGCCGACATTTTCAACAAACCCGTGAACCGGGTGAAATAATTGGGCGAATCACCGCCTGGTATATACAAAAACAAATCATTAGATCAGGATGTATTAAAATACCATTTCACCTGCGTGGTAACCAACTCTGGATGAATAAAGATCTCATTAATGTAAGGTAAGCGGAAGTGAGTTCAAGGAGATTAACAGCGTCTCTGAAATCAATTCAGAAATTTACCTGCTGTAGAAAGTTAGATCTGGAACCTATTCCCTTACAGCTGTCTTGGTCATGTGTTACGAATGTTCACAAACACTGCAGATCTGAAAGTATCTGAAGGTCTGATATGTGAAGGAAGGTACAAGTCAAGAACGACTTGCCTCATTTTAGTAGGGGTAGCAGAGAAAGAAGAATCAAACTTGATTTACAAGAGCTACCCTAACTTACCTACATAGATATATATATATTATGTATATGTATATGTATCAGAATGTGCTTTTCCATTCAATTGCTACCAAATAATAATCAATATTTTAGTTGCACAGAAAATTGTAAAACAATAAAAACAAATGGCATGAACAAAATGATGGCTAAACAGCAACAACAAAAACAATAAAAGAAAGAAAAACCAACAAACCTCAAAGAACAAAGAACAACAACAATAAACTCAAGCCGTCGCTGGTGAAAGAAAAGCAACGTTAATTAAATAGTAATGTCCGTGAGAAAAATGTCAGCTTTGATTTTGTACTCGTAAGCGAGACTCAAGTTGTTCAAGAATGAATGTCAGGTAGGTGTGCCAGACAAGCAATACGGTGTAAAGCAATAGCGTTAGATCAGTTAAACAAATGCTACGCGCACGAAACGCAGCATATGCAAAGGCGCTAGTGCATTCATAGCCAAATCAGAATTGCGTTTTTGTATAAATAGTACAGTGTTATTGAAAGGTTTTTGTGTAGCAAATAAGATCGAAAACAATAAAAAAAAAACACAATTAGAGTGCATTAAAAAAGTTGTAAATTATATACGTTCAATAAAACGACGAGTATACCGAAAATCGGAAAATGTTGTCGAGCAATGGCAATCAAGCGCAGTATCTGTATTTTTTATTATCGGGCGCGGTGGCAATGGCCATTATCATACTCGCCTATTTTTCAGTGCGCACAACACTAGTAAGCAAAAACAAACACACGCAAACACATACAGACACGGACCAACTAATCCACTACGGTCAAAACTCTGCAAAAACAACTTTTTGATGTGTAAACATCTTAGCTTTCGGTATTGGTAAAATTTGCGTTAACCCAGCGGCAACCTTTTACTGCTGCTTGTGTAACCCAGCAGAAAATCGTTTTTAAAGGCCATTTCGGGACTAGTTCGGGACCATTTCAGGACTCGTTCGAGATCATTTTGGCAAAAATTCACAACTTTTTCTGAACCCTTTCAGGACTACTCCAAAAAAATAAATTTAGATACATTTCGTGCCTAGTTTCGAACTACTTCGAAATGATACCAAACTACCCCTGAACTGTTCCCGAAGTGGATATAAAAAAGCCGTTTATTGCTTGTTCGACTGTTTCGGGGCCTGTGCAGGTCTATTTCATGACTAGTTCGAGATCGTTTTGGGTCTAGTTCAGGACTATTTCAGTACCATTAGTTCAGGCCTATTCCCAGCCTTTCGGGACCAGTAAGGGATCATTTCGGGCCCGTTTCAAGACTTGTTCAAAATCAATTCGGGATATGTGTACGACTTTTTCTTAACCTCTTCAGAAGTACTCCAAAACAATGTTAGATACATTTCGTGCATAGTTTCGAACTACACCCAAATGATCTTAAAATAGTCCTGAACTAATCCCGAGGCGGTTACGAAAAAGTAGTGTCCTGCTCTCGACAAAATTAATAAAATGAAATGCATTTAATGTTTAATTTCTAGCCTAACCAATTTTTTATATAACTGAATCGAATAACGCTTTGTTAAGCCGTACACACATGTTTACACATCGAATTTCATGAGAACCTGGTACTCACGTCTTTTTTCGTTTATTAACTCAAACTTCAGTGGAATAGCCTTTTTACTTGCAATGAGTACTCACGCCTACTGTTTTCTTCTTACAGGATTCTAAGCTGCGCGAAGACCTTAATTCATTGCAAAAATCTTACTTCTACGTAAAACCAACAAAGTCATGGCAATACAACAACTCTTGGCGGCAAATTGGCAGCAAAGCGAATCATTTAATCTACTCCGCATATTTCGATGACCGATTGGATGTGCTTGGTAAGTATGCTCAAGGTTACAATGTTGCCCTTTAAAAGCACAGGTAATAGGTTGAACAATTAAGAGATTGTCCATTGCGATACCACGAAAGCCGAACGGAGACCATTAATTATGAAATTACGAATGCGGCTAATTTAAATGCCTGAGGGCTCTTCGGGGATAGTTAGGAAGTGCGAGCCAAAATGTTTCCTTCTTATCCTCCCAAAGGCTGAGCAGTCTAATAGAAAGTGCTGAGATGACTACGCTTCAACATCCTGGTGGAAAGTTAGAGCTGAGACTTTGTAAGCATAAGGACCTCCATTGACCGCTCATGGCCTACGATCCACCGCAAGGCAGCAGAATCTTGTAAGCGCAAGAGTGAGCCCCAGAAAGACAGAGGGTACGCCAGCTGATCCATACCCGGTGATAGTGTTTCAAGAGTTGTATTTCCTTGCCAGCATGACCCTGCAGCCAAATTAGCCTGATTAGGAAGTCCTCCGACACGATTGATAGAGAGGTCAGACAACACCTCACCAATTTCGAGCGCTCAACTATAGTGTTCAGAGCCTAGATAGCCCTCTGGCTACTAGAACCTAACTAACTGACGTCAGACTCTTCAGTAGTGAGTTTACCGCTTCCTTTATGGCAGCTATTTTTATTTGAAAGACGGCCGGAAGCGTGAACATAGTTTTGATGGAGGGCTACTTGCCTCTTGATCCGTCCGTGGAGAAGTTCACTTCTCCCTTCTTCCTGTAACCCCGCACCACCCAGTCCTCCCTAGAGAAGGAGCTATTGGCAGAAATTTCGAAATCGCAGTCTTTTGAGGAACGAAATTGAAACCTTCCATGGTGTCAAGCTTTCCAGCCTAAAGGCAAACAGTTCGTGCTGTGACAACTCTGCCAGCAATATTTATAAGCGTAATGTTTAGCCTGTTGCGCCTATCACAAGGGGCTCCCGTGCTACGCATCCCTATTTTGTAGAGTCTCCGGCAGATAAGCGGTACAACCAGGGAAGTTCGTCACCAGCACGGGCAGAATACCTTCCTAAGCCTTTTATCCCAGAAAGTAGATTCCACACTTCTGCAGAAGTCCCCGATAAGGTTATTTTTGCTTTTCCCTTTTTTTTTTGTAGAGTCTCAGGTTCTGTTTGAATGCTTTGTTTTTTTTTATGAGAAATCTTGAAAATGAAAGGCATTTTTTATTTGATTTTCCGTGAAAGCGAAATATTTGGCAGTAATACCAATAAGGCTTAAGATGTCTTTAATGTAGCGAAATCATCCTTTTGTTCCGCAGATTTAGGCATACAGCGGCCGATAGTTGTCGGACAATTGTACTTCGTAGTGGTACGTGGAATCATAAATCTGCCTTGTTTAAATAAAGAACTGCCACAAATAAGCTGTACATTGTCTACTTAGCAAAGCAAATCTGTAATTATAACCCACCTAACGCTTGGGAAATCCCGTTACGCCCACTACTGCTTTCATTTATTTTTTATTAGTTGTAAAACCATTCATTTATTCAGTTTTTAATAAAAGTATTTTTCTTGCCTAACTTTTCAGATTCTATCATTGATCATGAGACCAGAGTTCCCATAGGTTCCTTGCGCATAATCGCTATATTGCCACGACATTTCAAGGATGCTATTACCTGCATCATCAGGTATGCGTAAATATAAAGAAGTTAATATTTTATAGCATCACTAATTATTTCAAATTATGCAATTCATAGGTTCGAGGATTTCGTCGATGAATTTGTGCCCATCGGCAAAGTGGAGCCACTGAACGAGCACCATGATTACACATTCGCGCCATATTCCATTATGTGTCCCCTTTATGTGGATCGTAACAACACTGTGCTGCGCTTGCCACAAGCGGTGGCAGTTTCCTATCCGTCCAACAGACTTAGCCAGCTGAGCCCCACATTTGTGCCCATCAGGTAAAGCAAGCAGTCCTATTACCTTCATCGTAATACAAAAGTAAACATTTTTTTTTTCTCTTTTACAGTTATCCCCGCGACTTACACCAATTATTTTCCCTTTCTCGCCCAGTGCTCTCAGTTTGTATCGGTCCGCTACAACAGAACTATTCGGATGTTTTACGCATCGCCGAGTTCGTGGAAATGTATCGCATACTAGGCGCACGCCACTTTTATTTCTACCACCTCTCCGCTAGTGAGGATGTAATGCGTCTGTTGCAGCACTATCAGCATGAAGGCATCGCCGACGTGCTGCAGTGGAATGTGCCAACTGAGTTGTTGCCTGATGTACACTATGCTGCCATAATGGCGCATATCAATGACTGCGTCTATCGCGCAATGGTTGTTGAGAACTATCGATACGCAGCCGTGGTGGATTTGGATGAGATACTCATTCCGCTCAAACACAATTCCTTGTCAAGTTTCCTGCGACAGTGCGACGAGGGACGCACTTCAGCCTACATCTTTCGCAATGTATTCTTCTATAAGTTGGACAGCAATGACAGCTTCAGCCTGCCGGCGCACACTCGCAATCGCTTCCTATACACACAAATGAAGGTGCGACGTACGTTGGATATTATGCCTGCTCATCAGCGTAGTAAATGCATCGTGAATACACAATCCATCATCGAGATGGGCAATCATTTTGTATGGCGTGAAGCTCCTGGCTATACGGAGACGACTATGCCCCAAAGTGTGGGTCTACTTTTCCACTATCGCGACCAGTGCATCAATTGTAAGGCCCAACTGATGGTAGACTATACTGCGCGGCGATTTGGTTCGCTTCTATGGGATCGGGTGGACGAGACTTGCGGCCAAGTGTTCACCGAGCGCGGTATATGCGAAGCGGCTTAGGGGGAAGTGGGGTAGCGTGATATTAAAAATAGAAGACTAACTTACTTGATTTCAGTGTTCAAATTGCCTATTTAAGACTACTTTAAGTGCTTGCAAATTTTGTTATTATTTATTCAACAAACAAAAAAAAAAAAAATAGATTCCATAAATAAAGTTAAGTTAGTATTAAAGGTACAGTTTATAGTTTAATTAAGAATTGTAGAAAAATATGTAAATATTAAGAAAGTATAAAAATCTAGGCAACTGTTTATTTAATAAAATTTTATCGAATTTAACACTAATTGGCTATGTCCGTCGCAGAAAATTTATGAATGAGATTGCAAACATGTTTGCCGCAAATTCCAAACAATAAGTGTCACTGTAATGGATAATAAATATGTAGCTATAGGGCCATGGGCGTAGCGCTGAAATGCTTAATAGGGTCAAGCCTAGTCGAAATTCAGCATTATTGTGGTCTTGTGAGGTGCCACCCCCCTGGTAAACACTCATCCCATTTTAATTTACTATAACCTATAGCTATGACTATACACCAAATATCAAACCAAATACAAAGCTGATTAAAATTTTCACGCCTACGCGATATGCCACGCTCTCTTTTCTAAACTAAAACCTTCAAGAAAAACTTTCGTCTGATAGCCATATTCTGATACATATTTCAATTACCTAGGTACCTTAACTCAAGTTGACTTTGACTATTTAACAGGTGGCATCCCTCCTCTTTGATATGAAACCTTTCCAAACCCGTTTATATTGATACTCATATTGAAATAATTAATTTAACTTGTTAAATAATTTGAATTTAACTTTTCAAGAGGTGGTAACTCTTTTCACACTCCTCAGAAATATTCTAAATGTCCAAACTAAAGATTTGTAACACTCGTTCGTTTGCCGCCCATATTTTATTAAATATTTTCAGGGTCCAAAAATAACTGTTATTTCGAATTTAGAAAATTTCATAACAGTTATTATAACCGAAGGTTAGTTTTTACGTTGCTTTATAAACGTCGTAAGATAAGAATATTGACGAAAACGGAGATGGGAAAGAAGATAAAGATGATGAAAATAAAAGAAGAGTGAAATAACTGTTATCAGACATCATAAAAATAAACGTTGGGAAATAACTCTTATGGGCGACGGAAAACATATTTATTCTGCATAACAGTTATCAGGCAAACGTTAGATTATAATTCTTATTGGCGAAATAAAAAACATTTTTCATCTAATAATTGCTATGGAAAAACGTTTTACCGATAAAACTTATAACTGTTATGCCCCTGCATATTTCATAGAATATGTGTTTAATTAAATAAAATTCCAAGTGCCAATTCGCTTCAAAATTTAGCTATAAACCTTCGTCTTGCCAAGACGAACTCGTAGGGATGTGTGTTTCTACAATCGGATGTCGGTAACGAGGTCTATAAGTTTCCAACAAACCAACATCCATCTTTATACACGGTGGCGCAAAAAGTATTACCCTATTTGAAGGCGTTGACTTTGGCGTTTTTTTTTGGGGGATTTTACGGATAGCCGTTACGAAATTTATTGTGTTTCTAAATTCTTTCAATTTACTTTTCCAAGCCGTTTGATTTCTCCAAATTTTATACGCAAGTCCGGGGAAGAGTGATGGGAACTTTAATGGCAGTGAGGAAGATAAGATTAAACTTCGCATATTCCTAGACAGAACAATTTGAACGAATTGGAAAATTAAGAAAGGATATTTGGATAGTAGCTTAAGAAGGCTCTGAGCATAGGGTCCCCAATTAAGGCGGTCGGTGAACTCCTATATATATATTTTGACACAAGACTAGTAAAGGGGTTTTTTTGTTAGACATGTGCTTTTCAAGAAGAAATAAAACGCATATAGTTTAATGTTGTGGCCAAGAACTTAGCTTCATTATAAAGATAAGGGTTTGCCATTATGTTTTAAAAATGATTTCGTGCTAGCGACCACCGCGGCTGGCTCGAATAAATTCCTGCCGAGAGGTCCAATTTTCGACCACTCTTTGCAGCAATTGAGGCCGCATGTCAGCAATAACGCACCGAATATTCTCTTCCAAGGCGTCAATCGTTTCGGGCTTATCTGCGTAGAGAAGCGACTTCACATAACCCCACAAAAAATAATCCAGCGGTATTAAATCGCACGGTCTTTGAAGTCACGCCAGAGGCCCACAACGCCAGATAATGCGCTCACCAAAAGTTTACTTCAATAAATTGATTGTTTCGTTGGCTGTATGACATGTAGCGCCGTCTTGTTGGGACCAAAGGTCGTCCACATCAACACCCTCCAATTTAATGGATGGGCACAGCTCCAGTTGTTGCTCGCGATGGCGGATGGACTCATTCGGGTCTTCTTCGATACTCTGCTCCACAGCAGAAATGGCGTCTTCGGTGCTCACTGTACGGCATCTCTAAGGATGCGCATTATTCAGTACATAGAGTAAACGTGGTGCGAAACCGATCCATGGTTATTGGAATTACTGACTCTGCTGGGCGATTATGTCGACCGAATATTGGACGCAGCGCGCGTTGCGTCGCGCGAACCGAACCATTATTTTGGTAATAAATTTGCACGATTTGCAAACGTTGCTCCGCAGTAAGTCTGTTCATTATGAAATGCCAAACCAAACTGAGTATAAACCAAGTAACAGCTTTCAAAAATACCAACTCCGAAAAAAGTATTGCCCCATTGAAAGCCACACGTCCAAAAAAATACCCTTAATAATAGCTCGGTTATGCCTACTTTGCACCGCACTGCATAGAATGTCATTTTTACGTAGGAATCAAAAATCAACAGACTTCTACATACATACATATGTATGTAATACTGTGCGTTGGGTAACCGCTTACACGCAAAGCTCATTTAAAATATTCGTTATATGACAACTCTCATGCAATGCCAAGTATATATGCATAACTGATTCTCAGCCGAGCGTTACAAGTTAATGGGGGCAGATTCTGCAATTCATTTCCGAGTTATTTTCAATCAAAGTCAATTTGCATTCAAGTTGAATTGGGTTAAAATTCACTTAATGGGATATAACGGTCCTGGATTGAACTGTTCCTTAACACTAGGTGTAATAAGCGAAGAAGAACACGTTCTTACATATTTTACTAGAAATCAGAAACTATCTCGTGAAATTTATTCTTCAATCAATTAGTAATACCTTCTAAAGCAATGTTATGTAGAAGTAAGAGATCAACTGACCCAGTAAATTGAATTATCCAATATTTTTATCTCATTGTATTTTAGTTTTTTTTTTTCTACAGCAGCGCCTGCCGATAAATTCCAAATCTTATCAAATTCAGCTAAATTTGTGCGTAAGTGAGTGAAACCTGATAAATGGATATTTGAAACGATCGCACACATATTCTATTGAGTTTACGCCCACTGAAAGAGGGAAATTTAGAGCAAACGCTTTGTATGGGATCAGTTGTATTTAAAAACACAACGTGGCTAGTCAAAAGTTTTGTTAAAAAAAGTTGTGATGTTAAAATTTCGCACTTCAAAAACGGCCAAAACAAATAATGCGAAGGTGAAAAATTTTGAAACAAGTTTTTTTAAGTAAAATTAAAAAGAAAAACCAAAAAAAAAAATTATATTCTATATTAAACGCTTGCAGGCGGAGAAAACGCAGCTCGATGATAAACAACTGGTGCAGCTGATACGCGCGACACCAGCACGCAGTTCGCTCATTCTGGCGCTGAGTTGGTAAATTTGGCAAATACAAGTGAAACTACTTAAATACAAATGGCCTTATTCATAAAAAAAATAGATTTAAAGAGCTCTATAAAGTGAAATTTTCATACAAATTTTCGATTTATAAAGTCGTTTATTATTTATGAATTTGGGTACAAGTTTTTATAATGCATTTTTTTTATCGGAAAGAAACCACAAAGCCACGCATCCATTTGGCATTAAATATGCTAAAAAAAATTATAAACAGTGTTCCACAAAGCTAAAGACGAAAGGCATCTAAAAATATTTATACAAAATCGATAAAAGTTAAAAGTGATACGAGCACTTAGAGAGTTTAGAAAATGGACAGCAAAGCCATACAAAATTATGACTATGATTGTTGTGTTATTTTTTTGTTGAACTTGATCCCACCGAAAAGTTGGTGAGACAACAGCAAATGATTAATGTCCGCATTCTAAAAAATAGCTGTAAAGTCAAATCTTTGCCATTCTTTTTATTTGGCGCTAACGCCATTTCCTCTGTCTCTTGCAAAGTTCCGCCAGTTGTTCACACCAAGTGTAGTTCATGAGAGTCCTTGTTTTTGTTTCCGATCCCATGGATGCCGAGTCGAAAGATCGGGAGCATCATCCTCCATGCCTCAACAAGGTAGTGATACGAGCCGATGTTGGTTATTCCGATGGAACGGACGTCAAGAAAGCTTGAAGCGTATTTTCTGTCCATCACAATGTGATCAATTTGGTACTCGGGTGTTTGTTTAAGGGATACACAAGTGGATTTTTGCATTTTTGTTACTGGTGTCTGGTACTTCACTAGGTCACGTATCCGAAGTCTATCAGCCTTGCCGGAGGTGGTGGCATGAAGGATGAGTTTTCCCGTTGATGGATCAAATATGTCTCCTTGGTTTCATCGTCCTTCTTCTGTGTTGTAGAATTCCCCCCATCCATTGCAATTCCTGTGATGCGCTGATATCAGCCTAGTATTTTCCGAAAGAATCCAGCAAGTGCATAGAAGCATCTTTCCTAGAGAGTGTTCGAACATTCCAGGTGCACATACGTAAACTTTTCGTCCTTTTTTCGATTGCAAGGACCATCCACGTTTGTGGGGAGGGAGTGCGCTCAAATATATTAAAGGACAGAACTAACAATATTATGAAAACGATAATAACAAAAATAAAAGCTTCTTTGTTGGTGCACCCGAGGAGAGATCTACTCGCACTACCGCCCGGGCTATCATCGACAGCTCTTTAACCCCAAAAATGACTGGGCTCTGGATGCGGGATGCTAAAAATATGGGATAGGAAACACAATAGGGCAACAACTACCGACAGTAGTACATCCAAATAGGCAAAAATAAATGCAGAAATATCTCCTCCTTTAATGCTCGCAAGGTTTAGCTCCGGCGTGCAGCTACTGGTTTACGAGGCGGGGTCGAAGCCCAGAGCATAGCGCATTCTTGGGAGTATTTCTTTCTTAAGATGCACTTTTATGCAGCCATACATATGTATTATATACTACACACTACTCATACAAAAACGTGTGGCTGTAATTTTTTGTTTTACGAAACATTTTATAGTATTTATATATTTGAATTCGTCTCCTTGATAGTTCCCCACCATCTGAGCGTTGCAGCAATTGTGGTCATGCTGTGAATGAAAAGCCGACATCGAGGAAAACAAAAGCTACAAAT